AGGCAGGCAGGTAGAAGAGTTAGGGATGATGAGGCAGGAAGGCAGAGTTGTTAGGGGCAATCAGGCAGGCAGGCGAGTGGTTAGGGGCAATCAGGCAGGCAGAGTGGTTAGGGGCGATTGGGCAGGCATGCAGAGTGGTTAGGGGTGATCAGGCAGGCAGGCAGGCAAGCGGTTAGGAGCCATCAGTCCTGGATTGTGAGAGGGTGCAGGCCAGCTGAGGGACCCCCCCCCCACCCTGTGCACAAATTTCGTGGACAGGGACTCTAGTATTTAAATAATACTGTATTCTAAGTTTGAAAGTTTCTAAGAGAGTGAATCTTAAGGGTCCTCACCATAAGAAAAAATATTTTGTGAGTATATATGGTGATGGATGTTAACTATATTTATTGTGGTGATCATTTTGCCATATACACAAATATCAAATCATTATGTTGTACACCTGAAACTAAGAAAATGTGTGCCAATTATACCTCAATTTAAAAGAAGTTAATTCTTCCAAATTAACCTACAGGTTCAAAAAAATACCAATCATAATTGTACACACTTAACAAGCTAAATTTTTTTAAAATCCTTACCGAGGATATGCTTTTATTGACTTTTTTAAAGAGAGAGGATGGGAGAGAGAGAGATACATCAACTGATTGCCTCCCATATGCTCTCCAATTGGAGATCGAATCTGCAACTTAGGTATGTGCTCTGGCCAGGAAGTGAACCTGCAACCTTTTGGTGTATAGTACGACGTTCTGATCAACTGCGCCACCCAGCCAGGGCTTAATAGGCTAATTTTCAAACTCATAAAGGAAAGCAAAGGGCCTACAGTAGACAAAACAATTATGAAAAAGAATAAAGTAGGGCTAAACACAATGTGATTTCAGGACTTATTATAGAGATAATCAAGCCACTTTAGTGTTCTGTAAGGTTATATGTACAGTACGATCAATGGAACAGAATAGGAAGCCCAGAAACAGACTCACACATATATAACCAACTGATTTTTTATGAAACTGCCAAGATAATTTAATGATGGAAAAACAATCTTTCCAACAAAGAATGCTGAACAACTGAAAACTCATATGCAAAAAACCCCAAAGCAAAAACAAGTCACCCTCCACCCTTACTCTGTACAATACAAAAAAATTAACTCAAAATAGTGCATAGACCTACATATATACCCTAAAGCAGTGGTTCTCAACCTTCCTAATGCTGCGGCCCTTTAATACAGTTCCTCATGTGTGGTGACCCCCAACCATAAAATTATTTTCATTGCTACTTCATAACTGTAATTTTGCTACTGTTATGAATCGTAATGTAAATATCTGATATGCAGGATGTATTTAGGCGACCCCTGTGAATTGTTTGTTCGATCCCCAAAGGGGTTGCGACCAACAGGTTGAGAACCGCTGCCCTAAAGCTATAGTACATTTAGAAGAAAACATAGGAGAAAATCTTTGTAAACTTGGATCAAGCAAAAATAAATTAGGATTCTAAAAGCACAAAACATAAAAGAAAAACTAGATAAATTTTGGACTGTTTTAAAATTTAAAATTTTTATTCTTTCATAGACAATGTTAAGAAAATAAAAATGAAATTCACAGACTTGGAAAAAATATTTGAAATGACATGTATGTTAAAGGACTTGTTTCTAAAATATATTAAGAGCTCTTATTATCCAATATAAATTGGGCTTGATAAGAATAGACACTTTTCAAAAGAAAATGACTAGTTGAAAAGCACATGAAAACATGTTCAATGCCATTAGCCATTAAGAAAAGACAAATGAAAATAACAATGAGGTACCAATACATACCAGAACAGCAGAAATTAAAATGACTAATAATACCAAGTGCTGACAAAATTTGGAACAACTGGAAATCTCATACATTTGCCTATAGAAATGCAAAATGGTATAGCCTTTTGGAAAACAATTTGGCAGCTTTTTAAAAAATTTTATTTTTTATTGATTTCAGAGAGGAAGGAAGAGAGATAGAGAATCATTGATTGGCTGCCTCATGTATGCCCCCTACTGGGGGGGGCATTGAGCCCGCAACCCAGGCATAGATAAACTAAAATTTAAAATATGACCCAGATGTCCCATTTCCAGTGAACCTGGGACTCAGTCCGCAGGCCGACGCTCTATCCACTGAGCCAAACCGGCTTCGGCTTTGGCAGCTTTTTAAAAAATTTTATTTTTTTTTGATTTCAGAGAGGAAGGAAGAGAGATAGAGAATCATTGATTGGCTGCCTCATATATGCCCCCTACTGGGGGGGGGGGATTGAGCCCGCAACCCAGGCATATGCCCTTGGTTGGAATCGAACCTGGGACCCTTTAGTCCGCATGCCAACACTCTATCCATTGAGCCAAATAGGTGCAGTGATGGCGAACCTTTTGAGCTCGGTGTGTCAGCATTTTGAAAAACCCTAACTTAACTCTGGTGCCGTGTCACATATAGAAACTTTTCGATATTTGCAACCATAGTAAAACAAAGACTTATATTTTTGATATTTATTTTATATATTTAAATGCCATTTAACAAAGAAAAATCAACCAAAAAAATGAGTTCGCATGTCACCTCTGACACACGTGTCATAGGTTCGCCATCACTGGGCTAGGGCCAATTTGGCAGATTTTTATAAAGATAAACTAAAATTTAAAATATGACCCAGATGTCCCATTTCCAGTTATTTATTCAAGGAAAATAAACAATGTCCATGCAAATATCTGTACATGAATGATTATAACAGGCTTATTCATAATAGCTGAAACTAAGAGCAATCCAAATGGCCATTAGTTGGTAAAGAAATTTTTAAAAATTGTAGTATCCATATATTATAAAATTATTCAGCAATAAAAGTGAAAAAACTAATGACATGCAAAAACCTGTCAACATTCAAAAGCTTTATTGATGCTAAGTGAAAGAAGCTAGACATAAGGCTACTTACTATGTGACTCCATTTTTGTGACATTCGGGGAAAAGCAAAACTAGAGTGATAGAAGCAGATCTGTGACTGCCAAGGTCGAGGGCTGCACGGGAGGGAAATGACTGCAAAGGCACATGAGGAACTAACAAGTTAAATAGACAGACTCATAGATGGAGAGCAGGCAGACAGCTCTGGGGTGGGGGGACTGTTAGGGGTGGTGGTGGAAGAATTGAGAAAAAAAAGAAAAAGAGAGAAAGAACTCATGGACATGGACAAGAGTCTGGTGATTGCAGGGGGAGGTGGGTGGGTGGAGTAGAAGAGGGTATGGGAGAGATAAATGGTGATGGAAAAAAATAAAATAAAGAAAAAGAAAGAAATTAATTGAAAAATAAAAGGTACATAAGGAAACTATTTTAGGGAAATTATTTTAAGGAAACTATTTTAGAAATTAATTGAAAAATAAAAGGTACATAATGAAACTATTCTTTATCTTGATTGTAGTGATAATTACCTAATTTTATATATATATTTATATATATTTATACACACACACACACACACGGGTCTTGGCCTATCCTCTGCAACCCCGCCTGGCCCCTCCCACCAAGGCCCCCTGCCCCCCATCTGTAGGCAGCCCCTCTCCTGCCACCGCCGCTCACACCCATTGAAGGCATGGAGAGATTGGGGCCAGTGCCAGCAGCGAGTGCGATCGGAAGCTGCTGCCCCAATCGCCCTTCAGGAGCAGGGGGAGGTGGAGAAGCCTTCAGGGGCGATCAGGGCCTGCAGCTGCCGCTTGCACCTGCTGATGGCACCGAGCAATCAGGACCAGTGCCAGGCACTAGCAGCAGGTGTGAGCAGCAGCTCTGGCGCCGGCTGCGGGTGAGAGCGGGGCTGGCACTGGCAGTGGTTGCGAGCGGCGGCTCCAGCGCCAGCAGCAGGTGCGAGCGCCAGGTGGGACCGCAACGCGTGGGAGCAAAGAATTTTCAGTAACCACCAGAGGCTTGCCCTGATGGCAGCGACCAGCACCCCGCCTTGGTCTGGTGCCCCCGCTCACCTGCTCCACCATCCCACCACGGCTGGTGCCCGCCATGCTCTGCGCATACCCCCTGGTGGCCAATGCACATCATAGAGACCCGTTGTTCAGTTGTTCCGGGTGTTCTGCCATTCAGTCTATTTGCATATTAGCCTTTTATTATATAGGATTTGTTAAGCCTCATCAATTTATATATTTTAAAAGAAAAAATTTCACTGTATGTAAATTGTACCTTAATAAACCTCACTTTAAAAATTATGTTATAAAATATTTCAGAATTGGGAGAAGGATAGCACTCCTTAGGATGTTTTTAAGTTCCACATGCTGGTGGAAACAACAACATGTGATGAGTCTAATTCATGGGCACACTGAGATTTAAAAACTAACACTAAAAAAATGTTTTTTAATCCTCACCCGAGGATAAGTTTGTATTGACTTTAGAGAGAGAGAAAGGAGGGGAGAGAGAAACATCAATATGAGAGAGAAACATTGATCGGATGCGCACCCCAAATGTGCCCCGACCAGGGGTTGAACCAGCAACCTAAGTATGTGCCCTGACGAAGAATTGAACCTGCAGTCTTTTGGGGTACAGGGCAATGCTCCAACCAACTGAGCCACCTGGCCAGGACCAAAACTCTAACACTTTTTAGACAAACAGAACATGCGCACATTTATGTCTGTAGGGAACTAAAAACATAATACCAATAAAAAATAATTGAGAAATTAAAAAGATTAGTTGTAGCAATTATGCAGTAGAACCATAGAAAAGGCTGATAATGAAGATGAATATATGTATGTCCTTTAAAGTATAAAATACCATCAAAGTGTACCCTTTTATTAGAAAGAGTCAACATATGGATAGTAGTATAATGGTGTTCAATATACTATTGTTTACTTTGAATATGTCTAAATGTTTTTCATTATAAAGAGTTAAAAAATAAAATGGCAGAAATGTTACAATATGCAAATAAGCTACTTAAGTAAAACCATCAAAGTACCTTAAATAATTTGTATCAAGACACACACATGATGGCCCAGCAATGAGTACCTTGGCAATAGCAGTCTGTTTAAACATGCGAGTAATCAACCCCATAGCAGTCTCAGTGGCAACGGAATTTGGAGCTCTCATTAATTTTTCCCACTCTTCAAAGCTGGCATTCAATTCCTGTGTGGGAGAAAGCAACAGTGTTTAGACATGAAGCATAAAGAACAGAACAATTAATGCAGTAATGAATCATGTCCTAACTTCTTTCATATATATAAAAATATAAAAAGAAAATTCCCTAAGATGCCAATGTGTTCATTTAAAGACATGGAGGCAGCTTAGTCACATGTTCACACCAATGGCAGAAACTAACGATACGCTGTAGGTGAAAACCTTTGCTAACATTATAAACCAAACAACTGCAGCTTCCTCTTAAGGGAAAACATTTTGTAAAGTAAACATAAAAATGTAAATACATAAGAAAAAAGCGCAGTGAAGATGTATATGGTAGCAAACTATTTTTATAAAGAGATATGATGTTACTTAAATAAAATCAAATAAAAGACTTGGGGGATATTAGTTAAATAAAAATATAATATAATCATACATTCTCTTATTTTTCTTTCAAATGCTAAAATAGTGGATAAAGGAAATTGGATTATTCTTATTTTTCCAATAACATATTGCTCAATGTTTATAGAATGCTTATTCTAAGATTTCAAAATAAGCCGAAACCGGTTTGGCTCAGTGGATAGAGCGTCGGCCTGCGGACTGAAAGGTCCCAGGTTCGATTCCGGTCAAGGGCATGTACCTGGGTTGCGGGCACATCCCCAGTAGGAGATGTGCAGGAGGCAGCTGATCGATGTTTCTCTCTCATCGATGTTTCTAACTCTCTATCTCTCTCCCTTCCTCTCTGTAAAAAATCAATAAAATATATTTAAAAAAAAAAGATTTCAAAATAAAACAATGCAATAAATAATCTTTGTCAACAAAGTTATGCCAAGATTTGAAGAAATTTCAGAGAATATATAAGCATTGCACTACCAAAAATGTATATAAAGATTTGCTAAATACAATTTGGCTTTCTGATATGTTTAACTTCACATCTTACATGATCACAGAGTTTTAAGATTGCAAGAACGGGGCTGTCTCTAAGTTATTTTAAAGGACAGCTACTTATACTTAAAAATAAAAAAATCCTAGAAGAAGAAACACAACTTCCCTTGCTTCACACCCTACAGAAACTCAGAATTCTTAATACTAAATCTTTGTTGTAATTGAATTACTTTTTTTCTATATTCAGCAGAAATATACTTTTTAATCACTAGGATACTGAATCTTTTCACATTATATGACTAAAGTTAAATTCTTCCTGCTCGGTTCTCAAAATAATACAAAGCCAATACATATGCTCTATTAATTAAATCTATTTTAAGAAAGCAGACTTTTCCTCCTGTACAATATGAAATATGTACAACCTTTCTTAGTATAATTTTAAATGATTTAAAATAAGACTTTCAATCAAAAAGGGTTCTCACCTTGGCTGCTGCTGATGGAAGGTCGAAAGGAATACGCTGTCTGATTTTAGGGGGCAGCTGGGTTAAAACGTCAGTCTTTAGCCTTCTAATCATTATGTCACTTAATAACTGATGAAGTTCATTAAGATTTGACGCCCCTCTACAATCCCACTGAGACCTTTTACCAAAATATCTGTTAATATGAAGAAAAGAACATGCAGTAAGAAAACAATTTATCCAATGTGTTCTTCCTTTAAATGGTAGGAGCCATGGCACTGCTTTTACTGCTATTTTTTTTTAATGCAAATTAGTTTCAAAAAGCTCAGCTTGAGAAATAGTTATGAATAAGATTACACATAACTTTCAGCCATAGGAAATACTAGTGTCTAAACGTACTGTTTACACTGAGTTCATGCAAGGCTGGGTGAGCTGGTCACTGTGCCGACCACTGGCAATTCTGGGTGGGCTCCCAGGGCAGGCAGTGAGTTTATCAGATGTAGCCCTAACGAGGCACTCACTGCCAGTACACCAGCCAGTCAGCAACCAAACCACCTAAAACATCTCCACACCCTGGGAGGTATTATCTGGCACCCACAGCAAAGGAAATAAAAAAACAACAACAACCCACTGTGAAGGAGAGAATGGGAGGATACAATGTTTACTGGTAGAAGTCAATGCAGGCAGCTGACTTGGTAAAGAAAGGAAGCTACAACTTAAAATGCTTGCAAAAGGTAACTTTCCCCCTAGACCTCCACGAAAATCAGGAGTTGGAAGCACCAAGGACTGTGGACAGGTGTTAAGGTAAGGGTTGAAATATAAATATTTAGATCTGGTGGATCTACCTAACCCATGGTCGGGTTTTAAAATTTGGTTTCTATCTCTTTATTATTATTTCCTTTATGTTTACACATCTTTTTTTTTTTTTAACTTTCTCCACACCTTCCTTCCGTTCTTTGAGCATCTTTAAGACAACTGTCTTAATCTTTTCCTATGAGATCTGTCATCAGATATTTTTCAAGAGTTTCTGTTGACTTATTTTTTTCCTTTGAATGGATCAAGTGGGATTGCAAGGCTAGTACAATATTCATAAATCAATAAATGTGATACATCACATAAATACAATGAAGGATAAAATCACATGCATATCAATAGATGCAGGAAAAAGCATTTGACAAAATCTAGCACCCATTTATGAGAAAAACTCTCAGCAAAGTGGGAATGGAGGGAAAGACAACAACAAAAAAAGGAGCATGTTAAACAGCACCACACAAACTGTAAAATCCAGATGACAGTAACTTAGCTTATTTAGAAAGTTAAAATAAATGAATAAAACAAGGAAATAGAAAAGATTAAGAGACTAAATCCAGAGTTTAAGAGAGACATAAGAGCCCTAGCTGGTTTGGCTCAGTGGATAGAGCGTCGGCCTGCGGACTGAAGGGTCTCAGGTTTGATTCCGGCCAAAGGTACATGCCTGGGTTGCGGGCTCGATCCCCAGTAGGGGGCGTGCAGGAGGCAGCCAATCAATGATTCTCTCTCATCATTGATGTTTCTATCTCTCTCTCCCTCTCCCTTCCTCTCTGAAGTCAATAAAGAAATATATTTTAAAAAAAAAAAGGAGAGACATAAGAGATATTTATCATTTATAATGCATGAGTCTTATTTTAGGCACTGATTCAAACAAATGATGGGGAAAAAAACTTTAAAAAAAGAACTACAAATTTATGACATCCACAAGATAACTGGAAATTTGAACATTTACTATATTCTTAAAATATTAAGAAATTATTATTAATTTTAATTGTTTAAGCATGATAAAGGTATTATAAGTTTTTTAAATGAGTCCTTACTATTTAGAGATATGTACTGTAATATTTTATGCACAAAATGTGATATCTAGGCTTTTTTCCCAAACAACACAGGGTAGTGAGGGTACATGGGAGTATAGGTAAACCAAGAGTGGTCATGTGTTGATAAATGTCAAAGCTGATGAAGAAGAGTACATTGGGGTGGGGTGGGGGTGTCATTATACTATTGAAATTTTTCCATAATAAAGTATTAAAAAGAAGACCAGAAAATAAATTAAGAAAAAAAGTGATGGAATTCAGGAACTTGGGAATCTACTAGAGTAAATGGCAACAGAAAACACAGGACGATGGCTCTTCACCATCTATATATATAAAAGGCTAATATGCAAAGTGTCCCCGTGGGAGTTCACGGGGAGACTAGGAGTTCTATCACTCTCTATGACATGCGCTGACCACCAGGGGGTGACAAGGAAGGAAGGAAGGAAGGAAGGCCCCAGCAGGCAGCAGGCAGCGGGGGAAGGGAGGCCCCAGCCGGCAGCTGGAAGGTCCTGATTGGCCCTGATTGCCGGCCAGGCCTAGGGACCCCACCCATGCACTAATTTCATGTACTGGGCCTCTAGTACCTAAAGAAAAACCATCCAGACTGGAGTAGAACAGAAGCTATGGGATGGGAGGCCTCAAGGAAAAAGAAAAAAGATTATTTATGTGCTTGTAAGACCTTTCGGAAGTTGACAGAACTGTTGGTGTCTTTGAGTAAAAAAAAAGAAGTGATGGCTATATAGAAAACCAAAAGATTTGGCGGGGGGTGGGGGAGAAATAATTATAAGATTAAAAGTCAACCAAGAAAGAAACAGTCAACTACTTGATTTATTAGAGAATGTTAATTTATTTAATCTGTTTATTCTATTTATTCGGTCAATATAAACATGGACACTGAACTACCAAATAATTCAAACACTAGAAGGAGAATGGAAGGAAGGTGGTGTCAAGGGGGGAGGGGATGTTAATTACTGCTCTTTTACCTTTTAGTTTTGTAATATGGACAAGTTATTTAACCTTTCCAAATCTCAGTTTACTCTAGATAATACATCTAAAATACATGGCACAGTATCTTATATATAAAAGGTAATATCATATAGCCCATGAAAATGATATATTTTAGTTATTGATATAGAAGATATCCTAAAAATAGTGCTACATGCCGAAGCCGGTTTGGCTCAGTGGATAGAGCGTCGGCCTGCGGACTGAGGGGTCCCAGGTTCGGTTCCGGTCAAGGGCATGTGCCTGGGTTATGTAGCCCATGAAAATGATATATTTTAGTTATTGATATAGAAGATATCCTAAAAATAGTGCTACATGAAAAAGCATATTACAGAAGAGTATGTATAATATGGCTCTATTTAGATAAAAATTGTCTTCTATCTATCTATCTATCTATCTATCTATCTATCTATCTTTATGTACTTAAGCAGAGAAGCTACCTAGAGGGAAAGTTATCAAAACACATTAGTAATGGTTATCTCTGGACAGTGCAATTCTAGTCGATTTTTTACTAATTAAATTTTTTTTCTTTGTTTGATTTATTAAATATAAATGATTTCCCCCAAAGCAGTAAACTATCTTATAAATTAGTAAAAATAAAGGAAATAATCTTATAAAGATAATTTTAAAGCACGAGACAAGGTGATGCTAAGTGAAATTAGCAGATGATAGCATTACAATCAGACTCTATTAAAACTATGTAAAAATTATTAGATCTACAGACAAGGTAGACATAAAGAAAAAATGAAAACAATTTACTGGTTACTATAGTTAGATTATGGTATTTTTCCTTTCCAGTTTTATTGCTACAGTGTTATATATTTTTATTTTCAAAAGTACATATATATGAGTATGTATATTTTATAAGTTCTTACTCATATTACTAAAATCTACTTGCCTATTAAGTTTCACTCCCTGATAATAGCTTTGCCCTCTGAGGCCACAAAGACAAAAGTCTAATTTCTTCAAAATGACAGATCTTTAAATATTTAAGACAGACTCCCTCTAGGTCTTTTCTTTAAAAAAAAAATTCCTACAGGCTTTCTAAGATCAGGCACTATGTCTTTCTCATCTTTCTATTGCAAGCATCTCTGAAATAATGTCTTAATTATAGCAGGCAATCAATAATATTAGGTATTTGTTCAGCTGAATATGAAATCCCCTCATCATTCTGGTCACCCTTTCCCAGATATGTTTTCACCTGTTAACATGCTTCTTAAAATAGGACTTATAGTTCCCTCTCAATTCCTTGTATTCCTTGCCTCCAATGACCTTCTAAAATCTGCTCCAACCATTCATTCCACTCCTACAGCTATAAACAGTGCTGAAAAATAGCTCTACCTGATAAATTAGATTAGTCCACCTTTTCATTTATACCCACTACATCTTTACTATTCCATCAGGACCTACGGTCAACTGACTGCTCCACTTTCACCATATCCACAAATTCCTTCCTGCCTTCACACCCATCCTCACCTTGTTTTGATCTCTGAGTCCATACATTAGCATTGTTATGATCAATATAACATAATTTCACAGTCTATGCATCAGAAGCTCATGGGGGAAAAGAATCTTCAATGGCGCCTTCTCCAAGCCTGTACCTAGGCTGCTGGGGAAATTATACCTTAGAAAAGACTGCTTCCTCTATAGATGTAGAATTACTAATCTCAAGTGGTTACTCAGTGCTGTTACCAATTCTAAAACACTAGTCGTGTTACCTCATTCTCCCATTAAGCAAAATTTCAAACCATGTCAACATTCATCAAACTTTTAACCCTATATGTTTTCCATTTCTCTGAACACATGACTGTCCTTCCCATTTCACAGAGAAGATAAATCACCATATGCAAATTCCCTAAATTTCCCACCACCTCAGAAACTATTATATATTCTCAATAATACCATGCAGCCATAAAAAGAATGAAGTTATTTATATATACCAAAAAAGAACAAATAAGGACAGCACAAAACAACATTTATGTTTTTAATATACTACCACTTATGTAAAAATATACATTTGCTTGAAAATGCACACAATTTCTGTGGGAAGATTAAAAACTAAATATAGAAAATAAAAACTACATATAGTTGCTTAAAAGGAGGGAAACTGAGGTGAAAGAGATTTTTCAAAGTAAATACTCAGTACTATTGGTTTGGAATTTTGAACCATGCGAAAATATTGCCCCCCAAAAATAACAAACAAAACTAGTAAATATAATCATGTACGTCCTTTTCATGCTTTAAAATCCCACAATGCATGGGCTGGTGGGGGAGCTAAAGAGTTATTATTTCATGGGCACAGAGTTTCAGTTTGGGATGATGAAAGAGTTCTGGAGATGGTGGTGTTTGCACAATAACGTAAATGTACTTAATGTCACTGAACTCTACACTTAAAAATAGTTAAAACGGTAAATTTTCTTATGCATATTTTATTACAATTAAAAGCCCCACAATACTAAAAATTAAAACACAAAACAAAACACTCTCCAGTGCTTCTTACTGCTATTATGATCAAGGACAAGACTCTGACCAAGACACCATCAGCTCAAGAATATTCAACTGAACCAGATTTCTTTTAGTTCCTCAAGGTATCTTCCTGGGATGCAAACAGGGATCTACCACTGGCAAGATGCTTCCTTCTGTCCTTTGTACTTGATCAGTTCTCTCTACTAAACTCGGCCATAACACCCTTTACTTCCCTTTTATGACTCATCACAACTATAATTTCCTAGTTAGCTGAATTAAAAACTCAGTGAAGGTTAGGACCATTGAGTCTTGTTACTGAATGCATATTTGATGCCCAGCATATGGCATCGTATATAACAGATAACCTATAAATATTTTTTGGATGAATGGATTAATTAAAAATTAAACCATAATCCAGATGTACTCTAATCAATGAGTGGAGTAGAGCCAGGCCTTACTCTGTTTCTTTAATTAATGTGTCTTAATATTACTTTATTTTTATCAGTTATGACAGACAGTTGACTTCCATTTAGTGTAGGGTTATTCAAAACCATAAATCTTTTTGAACTGAACTACTAATAATAGGTGGGAATTTCTCAAATCCCTTCCACACAAAACAGATTTTCTAAACATAAGTGCAGAATTTATGCTATTAATTTTTATCTAATTATTTTTCAAACTTGTCTCTGCCATATAGGCTATTAACTATTTCTCCCAGATTTGAACCATTTGCAAATGGAATAGACCTGACCTCTATTTAGCCATGGATGAGAATTAAATGTGACAGTGCTGAGGACAAAGAACTGTGCAATTTCATAAGAGACATTTCTTGAAGCTGACAATGACCTATTAATTAACACTTTTGGGGAAAGGCTATAAATATATTTAATATGTATTACTACCCAGAATTTTCCCTCTCATAAAAATTTAAACAAACGATTTCTCCTATGAGGTGAATCCAGCACAAAATAACAGTGATAAAGAAAGTTTAGGAAAATTTGATAAATGGCTATAAAGATATTCTGGGATATTCTTAACCTTCAAGCATGACATCAGGGAAGGCAAGTATGTCCTCCCACAGTGTGGCTTTCGAAGGTGACTGCTGATAACAGGGTGCTTGGCTGGATTATCTATGTGACCTCTCTAAGTAAAAGGACATTTATTGAAGTTACCATTCCCTAAGACTTTCTTACTTTCTCAGTGAAAAAGTAAGAGGAAGTCAGATCCAGGGCAAGCCATTAAGCTCAGCAGATGTCTGCAAAATGACAGAGGGGGCTGGGTGATCTAAGTGCTAATGGCTGACAACTGAATGTGCTGCCTTTTCTAAGTCATATTTGTATTTATAGCTTCCTCTAAATATAACCTAGGAGAGTGAATGATGTAAGGGATTTTGGGGTACGAGATGTTCTGGTTGAGTAATACTCTCTCTGTGCCTTTCAAATCAAAGGTGGTTACCTATACCTAGACTTCTCCAAACCACATTCACATTAGCATATTTGTTTGTTATCACTTGTTTTTTTTAATAAACTTTATAATGGCAAAGTTATATTTTTGCCCAAGCTTCACTTAACTTTATTTTGAATATAGTCGTGACATTTCAAATATGAAATGAATCTAGAACTGAATAACTAACCATAATTTGCTTTCTGCAAAATTATAGTGTGAAAATGACACCTTCATAGAATCAAAACATTATGGGGGGAAATTAACATTCCACTGACTAACTTAGAATGCCAGGAAGTGACTTGATTTGAATCAGAGTCTATGAAGTCATAGTGCTTTCAAAGTAAAGAAGTAAAGGAATAACATAAAACTTTTGAAATGGAATCTAGAAGAAAATGCCACTTGAGAAGCACAATAATAATCTTGAAATGGCTCTCTCTAGTAAACAGGAAATAGCCCACAATCTTCCCATCATAAAGCACTTCATAAAGATAATCTTTTCTTTGAAACAACTTTGGTATTAATAACCAAGAAAGGAACAGGCATATACTTCTGCTGTTTATGACAAGTCCTAATCCAGTTAGTGTTTGCTTATGTAGGCAAACTTTGACATTTATAGTCTGCAGGAATTGTGAGTAAGTGCTTGCCAACAATATCTGGTATCATGCCTATTTGGCATTGTATCTTAAAACTATTTATTATTTATGTAGAGAAAGACTGAATTTTTAACAGCAACTTTGTGCTAGGACACCTTAATGAATTCCTTTTTGTTTTGAACATTTTTCAGCTGATCCTTTCAGGTCTTGCAAATGAGTAATATCAGTGGCAAATACTGATAATATTGCTTTTCTTTCCAGTATTTACCTCTTATATTTCTTTTGAGAAACAACTGATAGTGCCTCTAAAATAAAGGTAAATTGTGGTCACAGTGAACATCCTTGCCTTTATTTTAGTGTTTCATGTGATGGTGGCGTTGGGCTTAAAAACATACACGCACACATATACATAAACATATATATTGCACCCTATCTAATAAAGAGGGAATATGCTAATTGACCACCCCGCATTCAAAGATGGCGGCACCACAGCCAATAAGGAGGGAATACGCTAATTGACTGCCCCACCCTCAAAGATGGTGGCGCCCACAGCCAATAAGGAGAGAATATGCTAATTGCTGCCACGCCCTCAAAGATGGCAGTGCCCACAGCCAATAAGGAGGGAATATGCTAATTGCTGCCATGCCCTCAAAGATGGCGGTGCCCACAGCCACAAGATGGCGGCGCTCAGTCCCCTCAGCCCTGCTGGGGCGTCTGCCTCCAGAGTCCCCCAGTCCCCTCAGCCCCCTGTCACCCAGGGCCACCCGAGGCTTGTGCTGTCGGCAGTGGCAGCAGCAGAAGTGTGATGGGGCGTCGCCTTCCCCTGATCACCGGGTTGCCTCCTGCCCCTGAGGGCTCCCGGACTGTGAGAGGGGGCAGGCTGGGCTGAGGGACCCCCTCCAGTGCATGAGTTTTCATGCACCAGGCCTCTAGTATATGTATATACAGTTATAATTACACTCACACATATATACACCTTAAATTTATTATTAAAGACTATATGTAATCAAGAATGGATGCTGAATTCCATCAAATTACTTCTCAGCATATATGGAGAAGATAAAGTTTTTCCCTGAGTTGTTAGCATGGTAAATTACATTAACACTTTTCCTAATATTAAACTATGCTTGCATTCCTTATAAAAATTCCATTTGCATATGGTTAGTATATTGGACCTTTTAATTAGTTTCTGGATTATACTAATATTGAAGATTTCTACATTTACAGTCTTTGGTAGAAAAAGTCCTTGTTTTCTTTTTTGTTGTGCTATCTTGTCTGAGGAACTCATATCACAAAGAGCTGATTTTTATATTATGCACAGATTTACAGTATACCAACATGAAAAAAAGCCAATAAATTTAGTAGAATGAAGGGCAAAGAACATAAACAATTAACTGAAAAAGAGCACAAATGACTTTTACATGTATGAAAAAATCTTGACTACATTTAATAACATAAGGAAACAAATATGCATTAAAACTACTCTCAGATCACATTAGGAAGATAAAACATTTTATATTAGAACATGTTGGCAAAGTGCGGGGAGACAATCTTCCTGCTGGTGGGAATATCAATTGGTATAACTTGTGTGGAGCATAATTTGTCAAAAAATATATAAAATATAAAAATGCACATGGCCTTTTTACCAGCAATTCCACTTATATAAATTTATCTTACAGATTTATTCCTGTGTGTGTCATGAAATATTAAAATAGCTAATAATTATTGAGTTCTCACTATGTGCCAGTCACTGTTCAAGCCCTTTATAAATATTAGCTCATGTCAGTTTCATAATAATTCTGAGGCAGAAATATCATTCTCTGTTTTTAGCCCTGAAGAAACTAAGGTATAGGGAGGTAAAGGTACTTTCCTAACATGAAATATCTGGTAAACACTGGATGTGAAAATAAAACACTGCTGATCTCCCCTAGTCTCCCATGCTCTGTGCCACTACACTGCCTCTGACCATGTGCAAGTTACTCATTGCTGCATTGTATGCAACAGCTATATATCACAAACAAATGCCGATTAGCAGTAGGCTAGTTAAATAAAATACAGTGCATCCAAACAGTGGAACACAAGCAATATTGAAAAAGAATGCCAAAGCTCTTCCAGTAACCGATTGGAAGAATCTCCAATTCATTAGATGAAGACAGCAAACTGCAGAACAGTGTGTAGATTATACTACTATATATGTAGAAATAAAATGAACTATTATTGTGTGTGTATATATATAATCATGTGTGCTTTTTCATGCATAGAGTACCTCCAGAAGAATACATAAGAAACTGTCAACACTGGTTACCTGCAAAGGGAAATGGCTGTCTGTCACTTTCCCATAATGTGCATGCTCAGTTAGTCAATACAAAAAAAAAAAAAATCATTCCAAAAAATAAAGTAAGTGGAAGGTTAAAAATGAAGAAAAATTGCCATTATCTACTCTTTTTTAAAATTTCATACATAGGTCATCACATACATAAGATTTTACTTGGAGAAATTATTCCACAAGTGTAAAAAACACTGGAACAAGGAATGACTAATCAAGCTGCATGTGCACAGTAAATATGTGAGGATTAACGCTTATAGAAAATAGTTTGTCTTACCTGACATGTGCGTTACAGTATCTTTTGGCATATTCAGTCCATGTTCCAAATTTTTGTGGAAAGAGAGCTTCAATCTGCATAAAAAGCTGTAACAATGCAAGTGTTCTCAGTATGTTAAAATATTATTAGTCAATTATTACAATGATAAATCCAGTTAATAAAATAATAAAAAGTAAAAAAGGAAATCTACCTCTTCTTCCTCAAGGGCCCTCCTTCCCCTCCACCCCCCATTCCTGCCATCCTGTTCTCCAGGGATAACTGCATCCTTTTGTTAAACATACATTTATGCATTTTCTATGTCTACATAAGTATAGGTACATATTCTCTTTCATTCACATGAATAGGGTCCTATTATACATACACAACTAGAATTTGTCCCCCCAAAACATGTCGTCGACATAATGTACATATATATTGCTTTTTCTAACTTCGTTTTAAAAATTCTGAGCAATGTATTATAATAACAAAGCTCTGTTTAAAGGTTACATAGCAACCCATTGTGTAGATGTACTGTAAAATGTTTATTTAAAAAAATGTTTTTATTGATTTTATTGATTTCAGAGAGGAAGGGAGAGGGAGAGATAGAAACATCAATGATGAGTGAGAATCATTGATCGGCTGCCTCCTGCACGCCCTTTACTGGGATCAAGCCCACAACCCGGGCAAGTGCCCTGACCTGGAATCGAACCGTGACCTCCTGCCACTGAGCCACGCTGCCTGGGCCATACTGTAAAATGTTTGTTAAACAGTCTCCTATTAATGGATATATAGGGGGTTTCTAGCTTTTATGTAATTACAAAAATTAATGACAATGTAGGTCTGTATGTGTATGTGTGCATATATAAAATATACTAGTATATGTAGGTGAAGGTATATGTACTACATCTACATTTATCTATCATCTATCCATCCATCCATCTGTATTTCTTTTGGATAGGTTTGTAGGGTATATGTTAAAAATTGAAATGTGGGTTTAAGATAAATGCTTTAATAGACAGGGCTTCCCTGGGTTACAATAATCCTTAGACTCATAAGAGTTTCACCCATTATTTCTTCTTCTCAACCCTTTAATCACTCCATACCCCACATGCCTCTCACAGTAGTAAAAGCTAAATCGGACATCACTCAAATGCCTGATTCCTCTATTCTAATTAGATACTCTATTTGGTCTACACCTAAGTTCTCTACCTTCCCAAACATGGATTTTAAAGTGAAAAAGAAACAGAAAGAGGTTATGCAATACTGTATAAAATATATAAAGATATATCTTTATAAAAGATACAAAGTTGATTCAACTCCAATCCTAAGGAGCTTATAATGTAAAATAGACTTAGGATAAAATGAAGATTAAGGCCACAGAACAACCAGAAGAACACAAGTGTTATTTACAAATTTGTAATAAAGGTAAAAACTATGTGTGTGTTTTATAGCAAATACAAGCATGGCTAAGGATCACATGTAACTAGATAAAAGTCACAGTAAAAGATATATGTAATCATTAAGAGCAGTTTAGAAATTCCCAAAGTGCTCTTTTGGCATTTGAGGAATCTAATTTAACATTTCACAGGTGACTGATTCTGTTTTCTAGGTTGTTTTTTTTGTTTGTTTGTTTTTTAAGCCCAAGCATAAGGATTTTAATACCTCTTCAGGCCTTCCCAAAGCGGGAGTTCCCGTCAGAAGAATGGCTCGTTTGGCTTTCTGTACTATTGGCAATAAAACCTTGCTGCGAGTTGCGTTTCTGGACTTCATGTAGTGTGATTCATCCACTATCACTACACTGAAGTTCTGAGTGTTCAGTGCATCTATCAAAGTCTCTGCATCTGTCGTTAAGAGACCGTAACCCAGAACTGTCACTTTGCTGGTCGATATTCTCCTAGAAAAGAAATCCATGTACTTTAAAAATACTATTTCAGTAACCAATTTATCATAAACAATACAACTCTTTGGGAAGAAACACAAGGAAAAATAAGAGCAGAAGGTACCACCACTGAAACCCAATTTCTCTTAAGACTTTATAGTCTTTAAATATAATAAACCCTAATCCAAAATTTAAAATTTCGTTAATCAAATCTAACCTTTTTTTTGTTAAATGCTCTTTGGAAGCATTGACATCCAACAAGCTATATTTTACTAGGATAAGAAGATAACTTTGTGAGAACGTTTGCTTTCATGCACCTGTGATCATGAAGAAAGTGGATACTCAAATATTAGTTGGCTATTCCAGGAAGCCTTCCCACAAACAAGATAGCAGTTTCTTAAGCCAGGTGCTACTGGGATTTTGAGCAGGACAATACTTAGTACTCAGGGCTGTCCAGCACCCTGAAGGGCATCTCACATTCCTGGACCCTCCCATTCAAGGCCAGTAGATTTCCTGTCACAATGACAACGAAAATGCCCCCGGCCCTAGGTCGATGAAGTATAAGGAAAAGAGGGGGTACCACTTCACACGGAGATTCATTGGGCTAAAGTGATCCCTGATCTCTTGAACTATCTTTATAATTCAAATGTCTATAATATTCTTTATCATACTATAATGAAATTATTCATTTACATATTTATCCCCCTTATTATATCACTAGAGGCCCAGTGCACCGGTGGGGTCCCTCGGCCTGGCCTGCAGGGATCGGCCTAAAACTGGCTCTCCGACATCCCCCAAGGGGTCCCGGATTGCGAGAAGGCGGTTCTCGGGTGACACACCCCAGAATCGGGCTCCCTCCTCTCTGGTTCCGGTGTGTCACCCAAGAACTGCAGCTGCCAAGTCACCTCAGCTTGGCAGCCCTGTGTTGAGTGTCTGCCCCCTTGGTGGTCATCGTGCATCATAGCTACCGGTTGGACAGTTGCTTAGGCTTTTATATATATAAATAAGATAGGTGAGGGCAGGGGATGTGTCTTATTCATTTTTGTATGTACAGTGCTATGATACTAAGGAGTTTGTAAAATTAAATAGACAAATAAATGCATTGAAAATAAAACATGTCACTTTGCACTTTCTATATACCACCAGTGATGATACAGGAGGGAGTCAATCTTCTGCAGTTCTCTACCCCCTAATAGAAAAGGAAGGGCTCCTAAACACCCAGTACCAACACAGCAATCACATTTTTTTTTTTCCATAATGACAAATGCATTTTCAGCCCTGGATAAATCTACTTAATATACAGACTTATTTGATATATACCAATTTTGGCACTTTTCCCCCACAAATACTAGAAAGTTGTTCTTACCCAACATCAGTTTTATTCTGAATAACACTGATTTCTTCTGGATCTAACTCTGGGATCCATTTTTCTATTTCTTCTGTCCAAGGATACCTCAGAGATGAAGGGACCACTATTAAAAGAGGCCATTCCTCCTTATAGAAGTAAGCGATGGCAATTGCCTGGATTGTCTTTCCTAGACCCATCTAAATTGAAAATAAATAAATAGATAGGCAGATAAACAAATATGAAGGAGAAAATATTTTGTAAGAAAATATAAAATATTTTATTTAAGAGTATTATTATCCAAATAATTTTCAAATATAAATTCAATTATATTAGTTAATTAAATGTTCAAGATTATGATGACACTTAAAAGCCATTAGAAAAATTATATTATTTTCAAACCATTTGTGATTGAACTTAGAGACAAAATGACCCCTACTCAAAAATATTAGTATACTGGTTTCATATAACTTAATATTATAAAGATTTATGTTACCATTTATAATTTCTCCTCTTAGAGAACACAAGAGGAATGCCTTACCTTTAAACTACAAAATCATGGTATTTCAAAGCTAAAATAAGCTCTAAATCCTGTACATTTTACAGGGGAAGTCAGCACAGAGTAGTTAAATTATTTGTTCACCTTAACACTTAACTGGTTGCAACACTAGCATGATGCCTGGGGCCCAGGTGTCTGGTGTCCTCCCACCTGATGGTTTCACTCTGACAGCACACTGCCCCATCTCTAAGCTGTACCACTTAAAAAATAGTTACTAGATGAATGTTTATAAAGGACTCATCCTGTGCACTGCAGTTTATGAGATGGCCGAGGACTTGAGGATAGTAAGTATGCAGGATTTTGGGGTCTTTTACTCAAGTTTTTTTCCTTTCTGATATTTTTCTCTTCATGTCCCAATGGCACAATACATAGTTTGGGAGCTAGACAGAGCAGCTGTCTGTGATAGAAACAGGTATAAGCAGCCTATTTCAACTATGCAGCTTATGGCTTTAAGCAGGGGTCCTCAAACTTTTTAAACAGGGGGCCAGTTCACTGTCCCTCAGACCGTTGGAGGGCCGGACTATAGTTTAAAAAAAAACTATGAACAAATTCCTATGCACACTGCACATATCTTATTTTGAAGTAAAAAAACAAAACGGGAACAAATACAATATTTGTATTTGCATGTGGCCCGCGGGCCGTAGTTTGAGGACCCCTGGCTTTAAGAATAGAAAGAATTGAACATTCAGTGATGCATCTAGGCAGCTGAGGAAGAAGAAGGGAAAGCCAATTCTGCAAGCTATGAATGTACTACTTTATTAGGTTTGGAAAATTCTAAATAATTTCTTACTATTCCTAGCTATCTTATCACACACTTTCCTAAAAACATAAAATTATAATTGCCTTTTAAGAACTAAACTATTAAACTTAAAATATTAAGTATCAATTACAAAATAAGGAGACATCTTAAAAAGAAAAAATTGGTCCCAAGCCAAGAAGTTTTGAGTTTAACCAATGGAAGGGTTAATTTAAGGAGATAATGTGTTGAATACAAGAAAAGGGTATAAAGAGTCTGACTCCATTTTTAATGTTTGAATGCTGACAGCTTTTAAACATCATCAGTCCCCTTTACCACTCTCCCCAAATTTTGGGAAGGTGATAAGAAAACATGGGTGCTGCCCTAGCGGGGTTGGCTCAGTGGCTAGAGCGTCGGCCTCCAGACTGAAGGGTCACGGGTTCGATTCCAGTCAAGGGCATATGCCTGGGTTGAGGGCTCGATCCCCAGTGGAGGGGCGAGCAGGGGCAGCCAATCAATGATTCTCTATCATCATTGATGTTTCTATCTCTCTCCCACTCTCCTTCCTCTCTTAAATCAATTTATTTTTTTTAAAAAGAAAAGAAAACATGGGAGCTACTTCCTTGGTCACCTGAGGGAAATTCAAGCACACAGCCTGACCCACATAATAAGAACCCTCACCCTAGACCCACCTGGTAAGTCCAATAAAAATCCAAGTTAGTCTACATTTCTTGTTTTATTTTTTTTAAAAAGAAAAGAAAATATGGGTGCTACTTCCTTTGTCACCTGAGGGAAATTCAAGCACACAAGCCTGACCCACATAATGAGAACCCTCACCCTAGACCCACCTGGTAAATCCAATAAAAATCCAAGTTAGTCTACATTTCTTGTTTTCTCAAGCCGCTTTCATCTGCTTATGATCCTACTCTCCCCCAGAAAGCTTTATTATCTGAGTAATAAATGTTTCCATATCCTGTGGTCATCTGTGTAGCATCATCATTCCTGACATGTGAACCAAATTTTGGCGGCAGAGTCCACCTACCTCTTCTAAGATGACCACAGCAAAGGAAACACCATTCCTCAATATATGTTAACAAGCAGGCATTGTGATTTATATGAGCAGTTTTCCTTGAGCTTTGTCAGCTTGAGTGAAATCTCAAAATCTGACCAACATGGAATCATGAAAATAATGATTTTTCTGGCCCTAGCCGGTTTGGCTCAGTGGATAG